TAGAACTAGCATGTAAACGTTTCGGGGTGATAAGGAGATTTATACATTTATAGTAATTAAAAACTTTCTTATCTTAAAAAAAATCTCGCTTGGTACACTGATTGTCTGCTTGGATGTACAAGAGGTCATGGTGAAGACTCGTAGAGAAATTGAGTAAATGGAGGAAATGAAGAAGGCTTATGATAGTGGATGACACCAATCAGAAGATATCGTAAGAGTGGTATCTTGCCTTTAGAGTATGTCTTATGAAATAACAATACGTTTAGAGGAGTACGATACGTCTGAAGTACACCTTCGATTAGCAGGATGATGGAACGATTGGTGAAATTCTCGAAGATGTCTCATCGTCTGGTATTTCCATCACTAATCGAGTTGAAGTAGAGTTGATGATTGAAGATTGAGCAATGAAGAAGTTCTAGTAGAGTCTAGGGAAATTGTTTATGATTATTTGGACACATTTGTATGTGTTAAATTGTTTTGTGATTTTCTTGTATGGTGACTTGGTCGACTGTGGGACAATACTTGGGATGAGAATGAGTAAGTGTGAAAGGTAGTAGATGCATATACTACCGGAAGCACAGGACTCGCACTTGGATCAGCGAAAGTCACAAGGTTACCAAGAAGCTAGTAACTGATTCCGTTTTGTTCAAGTGTGTCATTACCCTTGTTTCAGTAGTGACTAGTAAGATGGTTGTTATTTCGACCCTAGTGGTAAAATCAAATTGAGTCCGACTACGAGGAGTTTGTTAGGTGGTTCATGGAACCAAGTTCGATGTAACATCTGACCTAAGTCAAAAGATTGAAATCAATGCGATCGATAGCATCGCACTCGTTGTTAAGGAAGCTTGTAGCTGGAAATGCTACATGTAAAAATGTGATTATATCACATTAGAATATGGAAGAAGGTATATTCCATTCTGGAATTTGACTCTAAGAGACCGAGTCTAAGCGTCGCATCGTGCGATGAGAGGTCAATAGAGCACGACCCATCGGTTTGTTACGATAGATAAATGAAAGTATTTATCCTGAGAAGAAGAAGGAGTCCACAATAAGAACTTATTTTGTAACTTGGAAGTTATGATTGAAAGTACAACATAGTACGATAAGCAGATGCAAGATTGGGCATCGTCTGCAGTCAAGAAAGCCATAGAGTTAAATACTCTATCGAGGAAACATAGAAGTTACAGTTATTAACTAGGATGAAGAGATAACTTGTGGAATCGTTCTGCAAGTCCTATGTCGTTGATGATTCCTGGACGTAATCATGCTAAGGGGGGGGGGGATAATTTTAATGCTCGTAGATCCGGGCTAGTCAAATTAGAGACGATAAGCATCAAAAATGAATTTTTGATGGACGATTATTTAGAAGGATTAATCTTAACCAAGTTGTAGTATATGTCACAAGGTTTCCGTAAATGTAAAGAACGCCAAAATCCGAGTTATAACGAAGAAGTTAAGACCTGTCGAAGTTTCGCGACAGAACTGGCATGGCTCAGCGCGATGTAAATAGTGAATCTAAGGTATATATATATATATATATATATATATATATATATATATATATATATATATCCTTAGTGATCTAAACGAGAGTCGAAGATTTCTTCGATAGTAGTCCAACGATAAAAAGACAGACGAAAACAGAGTTCAGATGAAGGAGTTATGAATTTCGAATAGAGTTTTTCTGTCCCGGCCTACTAAAAATAATATATAAGTAATATAATTATAATATATTAAAAATAAAATCAAAATTAGCCAATGGGGTCTAAAAGAGAGTTGTAGAGCATAATCTCACCTTCGCGTCGATATAAAGAACGTTAAAAACGGAGTTCGTATGCGAAAGTTATGAATTTCAGAAGTTCGGGGCGTGAAACCCTAAAACTGTCAGAGACCACGACGTGGCAAGCAGTGCCACGATGTGGCAAGTCCCCTGACACCTCTGGGAGTCCCCCAGATGCAACTTGGGATGACGCATGCAATGACGATCAAGCCCACGGCGTGGCAAAAGGTTCCACGACGTGGAAAAGGCCAGTTTTGCCTTATAAATAGATTTGAAGGGCCAGCCGAGTTTGGTTGCTCATTCTCTCATTGAAGGGCCAGACGATCAAGCCCTCGGTATCAACCCCGAGACCCGAAGCAAGTCCCAAAGCCCGAAGATCCCGAAAAGAAAAGAGTTTCCAAGCCGAAGCTCTGCCCGCGAGAAACCCGGTGTGTGAAGTGATCCCGGTTTCACCGAAGAATACTACTTCTACAAGTCGTAGTGCTGTCCGATCATCTTCTGATCAAGTGAGTGTATAGTCACTTTCGTCTTAGACATAGATATGAAGTATTTTATAAAATACGTGCTATGTGTGTATATATATATATATATATATATATATATATATATAGTTGTTTATATGTGTGAGTGTGTGGTCACTTTCTTCTAATACATAAATATTAAGTATTTGCTATGAAATATGTGCTATGTGTATAATATAAAGTTGCTTATATGTGTGAGTGTGTGGTTACTTTCTTCTAACGTATAGATATGAAGTATTTGCTAAGAAATATGTATTATGTGTTTATACATTGTTTGCTTATTTGAGATGAGTGTGGAATGGACGTTTTATATAGTTTTTAAATGAGTTAAACTGTGTATGTATTTTATATTTGCAAATATGTTAGGTAGAACATGGGTAGATGAGATAGTTGGTATGTGATAAAATGAGGAGGTATGAAAGATGCGCTTAAGAATAATATTGGTAGATGCACCAAATTGAGATGTCATAATACTAGCAGATGCGCTTAAGAATAATATTGGTAGATGCACCAAATAGAGATGTCATAATACTAGCAGATGCGCTTAAGAATAATATTGGTAGATGCACCAAATAGAGATGTCATAATACTAGCAGATGCGCTTTAGAATAATATTGGTAGATGCACCAAATAGAGATGTCATAATACTAGCGGATACGATTAAGAATAATATTGGTAGACGCACCAAATAGAGAATGTCATAATACTAGCAGATGCGCTTATAGGATAATCCTGGCAGATGCACTTATAGGATAAGGTCGGCAGATGCGCTTATAGGATAAGGTCGGCAGATGCGCTTAATAGTGAATGTCGTAATCCTGGCAGAGGCGCTTAAATTATAAAGTTGGTAGATGCGCCTTAAATAATAATGGAATTTGTGTCTATTCCTTAAAGTCAAATTTTAGGAATGAATGAATAAAGGATAGGTGATTCTTAGGATAAAACCTTAAGAAATAAAGAAGATAACGGGGATGGGTAATTGGGTTGATTGTTTGATGATTAAATATAGTAATTATATTATTGTGGGTTGAAAACCATATATGCTCACTAGGCTCCCAAGCCTGGCCCACTCAGTTTAATTGTATCACAGGTATCGATACGAAGCTGCTTTGCACTGAGAAATTAAAGGAGATGTAAATCACTAGAGTAAATGAATGTATGTTCTGTTTATGCTTATGTGTATGTATCGGAACATGACATCCCGAGGTTTTATTATTTAATGAAAATACATTCTCTTTGAGAAATGTTTTGATAAGTTTTTATCATATCTTATTTTAGGAACAAATTCCACAACCGTTTTCTTTAAACGATTACTCTGATTTATAAAAACAAGGCATAAACAAATCGGTCTTTTCTAGCCGAGAAATTGGGGATGTCACAGTGGCGGACGCTTTGAGCCGCAAGTCAGCGGGGTCTTCCACCCCAGCGGTATGTATGAGGATAACAGTGGATTTTCCGTTGGTGAGTTTGATCAGAGATGCCCAGGTTGAGGGCATCCGCTCGGAAAATTGGAAGCTGGAAAGGATCAAGGCCGAGAACACCCAGTTTGTGAAGGATAGTCGGTGACTATTAACCCGATGCGGTCGGGTTTGGGTCCCGATGACGGGTGGGGTTAGGCAGACGGTTATGGAGGAGGCTCATAAGTCTCATTTCTCTATTCACCCCGGGGCCACCAAGATGTATCGAGATTTGAGGTTGAGTTATTGGTGGCCGTGCATGAAGCGGGAAATAGCTTGGTACGTTGAGAGGTGCTTGACCTGTAGGATGGTCAAGGCCAAGCATCAGAGGCCGAATGGGAAGCTGCAGCCCCTAGAGATTCCCATGTGGAAATGGGAACAGATCACGATGGATTTTATTACCAAATTGCCGAAGACGGCAAATGGGTTTAATGCTATATGGGTCATCGTGGATCGATTGACCAAGAGCGTCCATTTCTTGGCTATAGGATCTCACAGATGGAGCTAGGGTTTCGAAATTAAGATTAGAGAGGATGGAGGCTGAAGGTAATAAGGGTTTGAAGTGAGTTAAGGTCTTTAAATAGGGTCCAATACCCAATTAGTAGCGTTTAAATTAGGCTTGTGTACACCTAGCATACCCCTGGTATGCCCAGTGTACCAAGTTGAACCTCCGCGATTAGCCCATGCTGAGTACGTCCAACGTACTCGCCTTAACCCAAAACCTTCAAAACTTCTAATGGTCATAACTTCTTCGTTCCAACTCCGTTTTGTATGATCTTCATATCCATGGAAAGGTATTAAAGAGCCCCACAATATTATCTAAATATCTTGGAATAAAAACCTCTCAAACAAAAATCCATATATCAAGCAAGAACATGACCTATGACTTTACATTTTCTACCCTTCAACCAAAAACACAATTCAAAGGTTTAGATATCACAACCATGATTTCCTCCTTCCTAAAAGGTCTAAACATGACCTCCTAAGCCTCAAAGCTTTTACACAATCGACTTCCGTCCCATGATCCTGAAATAAGAAATGACACGAAAAAAGATGTTACATTTTTAAACACCCTAATAGTTGCTATAAAATAGTTATACTTTATAATGTACCACAAGTAATAGCTTTATGAAAGTATTAAAAAATATTTGCGTTTATATAAAATTTGGTAACATACTATTCAAAACGTTCAAATAACAATTCTAAACCGAAATTGCTAAGAAGAAGAATAAACTGGGACAGATGTTTGCATTTGTCAAGTTTATTAGGGTGGGTAATCAGGAATCTTTGTTGAATTCTCTTTGCAATACTAGAATTGGAAATCTTAGGCTGCATGCCAATTTGGCTAGGTTCGCTAGGGAGGATATTAAGACTCAGTCTATTCCTGATTCTAATAATGGTGATGTGAATAATTTTAGTGGTAATCTGGTGGGGAAGACTTCTTATGCTCAGGTGTTGTGTGGTGACAAAATTACAGTGGATAAGGAGGTGAAGCTGGAATCTAAATCTCATATGTCTAATGTTAATATTGCTTGTAATGTTGACAAAAGATCAAACTACCCGTGTCACTTATTGGTTGTTATAAGGATTTTAGATCAACTGAAAACACACATAGTATTTTCCAAGGAGAAGGTTTTATGGATGTGGATTTTTTGTATGTTGGTGGTCGTTCGGTGCTGCTTGATTTAAGTTCTGCTGTCATGCTGGTATCAATTAGTGGTTCTCTAATTTGAAGCCTTGGGACGATAATTTTGTGTGTGATGAAAGAATTATATGTGTTTAAATATAAGGTATTCCGCTTCTTGCTTGGTGTCACTCAACTTTTAAGAAAGTTGTTAGTATATGGGGAGAACTGTTGTGTTTGGAAAAACAGGATGATCACAATAGGTTCTCTATGAGTGTCACTATGATCTTGAATCATTTCACTCTCTTATATGAATCGATTTTGTTAAAGTTTTTGGTGTCAAATATTGTGTTCGAGAAAAAGAATTAGAATCTTGGATTTCTAATTTTTCTAGAGGCTTTAATTATGAGGAAGATAATGATTCATGGTAGGGGGGTCGATGTGGTAGACTGTGATGATGCTGATTACTTACATTCAATTCCAGATTCGTTCAATATCGAAAAGGATAAGCATATTGATATCAATACAAATGATCATGGGCCTGAACCAAATAATGGAGATTCTCATAATAGTGATCCTTTTAATTTACAGCCTCTAATTGCCAACGAATTATCCAACAGGATGCCTACGAATATGTTTAATGTTAACTCAGTTCAGAGTGGCCATCTTAAGCATATTAATCAGAACTCATTTTCTCAAGATTCGGATCCTGAGTTTCCTCCAGGTTTTACGCCTCCAGGGGTTGATTTTGGTGCTAATTTGGTGAAAATGTTGATGTTCATGGGGAGGAGAACAGTTATAGGTCTGAAACAGAGCAAGTTCAAGATCGGGATGTTAATGATGAACCTAATGTAGGGCTGATTAAGGATTCTAAAAAAATCGAAGTGAAGGGTAACTCATCTTTCAATTCGATTACTTCTTCATAAATTCCAAAAGGGTTTTCCATGACCGATCAATTAGAAGCTACCATCGCTGTTGGAACTACTTTAGGATGGGACATGGCAGGTTGTGAAAAAAAATTTGGAAATTATTATTGCGGAAAATTGAGAATTTTTTGGTCATCAATGAGTCTCCTCTCAATTAATATTCAAGGGTTTGGTGGAGTAAAGAAGAGAATATGCTTAAAAAAATTTGTGTAATGGTCATACGGTCGACTTTCTTGCTATTCAGGAGACCAAAGTTTTGCATTTTGATTTGTGGGTGATCAGACAATTATGGGGTAATTCCTTTTTTAATTTTTCTTGCTCTTCTACTAGAGGCTTTTCTGCTGGCATTTTATGTGTTTGGAATAGTTTTGTTTTCCAAAAAAATAAAAGTTTTCAGTGATGATAACTTTGTTGCTATCGAGGGGGTTTGACATCCTACAAATACTCTGATTATGTTTGTGTTTGTTTATGCTTCACAATCAATAAGAGATAAATGCAACTTATGGTTAAAATCACTATTGATGATTAAAAAATGGAATAAGATTGTGGTGCTTATGGGAGATTTCAGTGAGGTTCGTGAGGCGGCATATATGTTTGGTTCTATTTTCAATTAGAAACATGATGATTATTTTAATGATTTTATTATCGATACATAGTTAATTGATGTCACCATGGAAGGATATTCTTTTACTTGGACGAATAGGCCGGCATAAAAAAAAAAAAAAATGAGCAAATGTGATAGATTCTTGATCTCTAGTTGTTTTATGGACAATTTTGTTGGGGTCTCGGCAGTGGTGTTAGACAAGTTCATCCCAAATCATCGACCTATCTTGCTAAAGGAGAATGTTGTTGATTTTGGCCCTACTCCTTTCCGTTTCTTTAACTCTTGGCTTGATATGGATGGTTTTCATGAGCTTGTTGTTAATACTTGGAATAGTGTTGAATTCCTTTATGTTAACGGTATGGTGGCTTTTAAAAAGAAACTTCATCTTCTCAAGTCGGCAATTCAAAAATGGAATCTTGATAATAGGTCGTTGTTCAAGACGGAAAAAGCTAATCTTAGTTTTGTTATTGTAGCTATGAATGTTATGGTTGATAGTGGGGTTGCTTCGAAAGAAGATTTGATTCTTAGACAACATTCGGCAAAATAGTTAACTGATGTTCTTAATTGTGAATCTAAAGACTTAGCTCAAAAAGCTAAGATTAATTGGGTTGTGGAAGGAGATGAAAATTCTAAGTTTTTTTATGGTATTCTTAAGAAAAAGCGTAGACAAATGGCAATCAAAGGCATTATGAAAGATGAGAATTGGCTTGAAGACCCTAATTTAATAAAATCAGAATTTTTTGACCATTTTAGTTGTCGTTTCTCTCATATAGTATTTTCTCGGATGTGGTGTGATGCTCCTTTCCCTAATCGTTTGTCTCCTGCTGATGCCGATTTTTTAGATTTTATGTTTTCTTGTGATGAGATCAAACAGATTGTTTGGGATTGTGGTAGTGATTGTGCTCCGTGCCCCCGATGGTTTTCCTTTTCTTTCTTTAAGGTTTTCTGGTCGATTATTGAGAAAGATGTTGTTCGTTTTGTTGAAGATTTCCTTATAACAAGCCATTTTCCAAAAGGTTGTAACTCTTTTTTTATTGCTTTGATCCCTAGAATTACTTCCCCAAAGTTTGTTTCTGATTTTAGACCTATTACTCTGATAGGTTGTCAATATAAAATTATTGGCAAACTTTTAGCTAATCGGTTAAGCTTGGTTATTGGCAGTTGTGTTAGACCTGAGCAATATGCTTTTATTAAAGGCATAAACATTTTGGATGGTCTTATGATTCTTAATGAAATTATGGAGTGGTATCGGAAATGAAAATCAAAGTTGCTTGTGTTTAAAGTGGATTTTGAAAAAGCCTTTGATTCGTTAAGATGGGATTTTTTAGATCTTATGATGGAAGAAATGGGTTTTGGTTCCAAATGGAGAAGATGGATTGAAGGTTGCCTTATGAATGCTCCAGCTTCCATTTTGGTTAACGGTTCTCCCACGGCCAAATTTGAGATTTGTAGAGGTTTTCGTCAAGGTGATCCTTTATTCCCTTTTCTTTTTATTATTGCAATGGAAGGCTTGCATGTAGTAGTTCGAAAGGCGATGTTTATTGGTCTCTTCAAAGGTGCTCCGATTAGTGGTAATAGCTTATTTATTTCTCATCTTATGTACGCGGATGATGTGATATTTTTGGTGGAATAGTCTATTCGGAATGCAACTAATTTAATTAGTATCTTACGATGTTTTTTTCTGTCTTCGGGGTTGAAAATAAATGTTCAAAAAAGTAAGTTGATGGGTATTTCCATGTCTAAAGATGATATTAATGACATGGCTGCGGTGCTAGGCTGTGGAATCTCGGGATTTCCATTTACTTATCTTGGGGTTCCGGTTGGTTGCAATATGTCGCGTATTGCCAATTAGAAGGGGCTTTTTGATAAATTAAAAAAAAAAAACTTTCTAGTTGGTAGGCTCGTACTCTTTCTATTGGAGGCCGAATGGTGCTGCTTAAAGTTGTCCTTAGGAATCTCCCTACTTATTATATGTCCATTTAAAGGATTCTGGTAGACATAGAAAAAAGATTGGAATCTCTTTACAATAATTTTTTTTGTGGGTGGTACTTGGAAGATAGAAACATGACTTGGATTGCTTGGGAAAAGTGTTTGGCTAGTAAAGAACTCGGGGGTTTAGGCATTGGTAGTATTTATGCACTCAATATATCTCTTTTATTCAAGTGGATTTGGAGATTTAGAATGAAGCCTAATGACTTATGGGCTATTGTCATAAAAAATATTCATGGTGTAAATGGGGTATTGATAAAGCTTGCATTAATAGTTCTTTGATGTATCCATGGAAGATGACGATCAATGCAGTCAGATCCTTTTCGAAAAAAAAAAGGATTAGATCTTTTATCCTTGTGTGTTTAAAACATTGGAAAGGGAATTCTACTTTATTTTGTGATGATTTTTAGTGTGGTGATATCCCTTTAAAAACCCGGTTCCCTAGGGTTTTTGTACTTGATTTGGAGAAGAATTGTACAGTGGCTGATAGATTAAAGTTGTGTGATTGGTTTTCGGTTTTTAGACTCCATCCTAGAGGAGGCGAGGAGTTGGTTCAATTTACTGCCTTAAAATCTTTTGTTAACCACATGGTTCTTTGTGAGAATCAAGACTCTTGGTTATGGTCTCCTAATGTTTTGATGGGTTACATAGTTGCTTCCACTAGGACTAATGATTAATTCCTAATTTTTAGAGACTTCCTCTCAATCTACTAGATGGAATCACTTCCTTCCTTCCAAGGTCAATATTTTGTTTTGGAGACTACGCTTGAATAAAGTTCCTACCATAGTGATTTTAGATAGACAGGGAATTGACATTGGTTCTGTGCTTTGTCCTATTTGTGCAATGATGTTGGGACCGTCAATCATCTTTTATTTAGTTGTGGTATGGCGACAGATTTATGGAGTCTTGTTTCTATATGGATGGAGGTGGATATGCCTTTATTTTCTTTTATCTCGGAATGACTTTCTTGGTTAAGAGATGTCTACATGCGGTGGTTAACACCATGTTTTGGGCGTTATGGTTTTTTCAAAATAGTTTTCTATTTACGAAAGACAAACCTCGTAAGGCAGTCATTTGGGATTTGATTCAATCTCAATATTTTTTGTAATCACTTAATGTACTTTTTTTTCTAGCTTTTGCTACTTTTATATATTAAGGCCCTTCTAAAAAAACAATTCTAAACCGAAAAGTTGTGATAAAAATGTAACCTATTATTACCTTTGTTAAAAAAAAGACCTCTAATAACCCATTAAACATGATGGATCGGTAAAGTTGGAATTTTTATAGAAAAAAAAAAGGCAAACCTTGTGTGTGTTTTTTTCAAAATACACCCACCCTTATATCCCACAATGATAATCAAGTGATTGAGGTGAATATTTTCATATATGAGACAAGAGATCTACAATTCAAACTCTAACCCACTTAGGGCATGTTTGGCAAAACTAATTGGTAGCGGGTAGTTTATAGCAGATAGCGGATAGCTTGTAGCTTGTTAAACGCTACATGAAGTAGCATTTGGATTTGGAGTGTTTTGATTAAAGTAAACGCTAGAAGCTTGTGATGTCAAACGAGACTTTTTGTTTTAAACGAAGTGTTTTGTCAAACGCTAGAAGTTAGAAGTTCTTAAACGCTTTAAAATACTCCATGCCGAACACGTCTTTAAAATATTAGGAGCGTTTTGCAATTGGACACCCATATAATGGGTTAGACACCCATATAATGGGCCTTGGAACAGGATCGGTGCGGGCCACTCATATGGTGCAAATGTTCTCTATAAATTTTTTTATATAAAATCACAGAAAGTATGATATGATAGTGTGTTACCGTCAATGTTGCCAAAGATAAAGGGTGTAACGTGTTATACGCTCAAAACCAGCTTACCATACCAAAATTAACAAATTAAAAAACAAAGTTCGAGTATTGATGAAAAAATCCGATTTTACGGTATAACCAAAAAAAAATTGCAAAGAGTTTTTCTACGGTATACCAAAATGCATCTATTTCATATTTTCTTATATAATCTGCAATATAAAATTAAAAACTGAAGTGTAACACTTTTAAACTTGTGGACTGATCTATATAAATACAGCCCATTTTCAAATGATTTTATGTTGATTTGTTTAGGTCCAATTCCTTTGCGCTTTGTCGGTTTGTCACGACAAAATACATATATGTCTTGGGGGTTAACAAAAAAGAGCTAACGAAAAAAACAAATCTACCTACTACCATTACGATTTTTCCAATATTTAGGCAAAATCTAGAAAAAATTCCATTAATAACAGTAGTGAATTTTGCTTGGGAGATGGCTAATGGGCAATAGGTTGAGAAATTGTTCA